CCATAGATCACCCGAAACAACAGGAACTGAACGCAAGCTCTAGCTTCTACTTGAAAACTCTGAGGTGGCCTCCCCCGTGAAGGAGAGGTCAGTACTTTCAAGCATTTGAAAAGTACAATGACAACTATACGGAATATAATCCATGTTTCAATTTCTAAGACCTTCAATCTAGGGTGATATTATTTTATAGGCCATAACCCGCAGTTACCCTCTTTGTAAAATATACTTACTTTAAATAAACTCAAGTAGATTCCCATAAGCCCATATTCGTTTTGAAATGTCCATCTCTATCCGCCCCGTGACCAGAAGTCACGATTTCCACAAACGCTTAATAGATCATTACGCCGTTCTAGGGCTTACCCTAACACGTTATCACACTATGGTTGAACCCCGTTCATTTATTATCGTTTCACCGCGCTAGAGCCTTGCTCCTAGTCACACTATATTTAGCTAGAGTCTTGCTCATAGTCACACTACATTATGCTAGAGCCTTGCTCATAGCCATCCTACATAAAGCTAGAGCCTTGCTCATAGTCACGTTACATTTTGTTAGAGCCTTGCTCATAGTCATTCTACGTGAAACTAGAGCCTTGCTCATAATGACGTTACATTTTGCTAGAGCCTTGCTCATAGTCATTCTATGTCGGGCTAGAGTCTGGCTCATAGTCACCGATACGATGTGCTAGAGCCTTGCTCTTAGTCACATTATTCAATCTCTAAGCAATTCTTTTGCCTAGGCTCAATTCATTTTGAGTAGCCTTTTAAGGCCTACTCTTAATATAACTTAGAGCTCATATAATTCAACCTTAAAAGTATCTTTTAAGACGATTTAAGGTATAACTTACCACAATCTGATTCATCGGATTAATTCTATCGTTTTTCATATTGGCATCCCGACTCGTATTTCAATACTAGTCGAATAATCTTAGAACAACCAAGTTCTCAATTCATGATCATATAGTTCGTTCCTATTGATTTTCCAATTCAAACATAATTTAACCTCAATATCAAAAATATCACTTTTATCCATTCATAAACTTTAAAGATGAAGTAAAAGTATATTTTATCACAATATTTCATAGTTGCTTCATTTACCATGCTATCATATCCCTTGCACATAATCATACACAATTTATTCATAAATTTGTATATCATGCTCCATTTACTTATAACTCATATTTTCATTTTGGCATTATTAATCATTTAAAAATCAACGAAAAACACATTTAATAATCTTAGGTAATCTTATGAAATTGACTCAACAATTATAAGCAATATAGTCAGTCATCCTCACCTTAATTATGTCCATCAAGCTTGTATATTGAAGCCCCGTCGTACCTTCGACCGGGAATGATCCGAAATGAGTTTGTCGGGCAGAGAGCAAAAGCCGGCCAGCCGGGAGACTTTTGCAAAAGGTGGGTATGCAGCTTTCGCCCCCTGCAGCACGAAAACAGCTCCTAGAAATGGCGGTTTCCGGCGATTCCGATTCCTATCGATTCAACAACTCTTCTAAGTTAAATACCAACACTTTATATCATTTTTCTACACTTTTAAATGTGTAGAACATCGCCTAGAATCCATCATATGATTTCTATAAAATCATACATGAAAAATATATAAAAAGAAAGAACAATAACCATAGCTATGAAATTCTTACTTCTAGGACTTGTTTTGCCTTGGATTGCTCCTCTTCTTGGCTTTCTTCTTCCTTGATTATTGTTGTGATGAGTGTAGGAAGATCTTCAAGACCCCTCTCCCTTATGTATTACACACCACCTCTCAATTGAGAGGACGAGGAGACTTCCCCTTTCTTATCTTCTATTTTTAGAAATTGGGTCTATTTTGTCGGGCTTGGGTAATGGGCTGCCCTTTTTAATTAATCCGACCCAATGTATTATTTAATCTTCTCCTCCACTATATTTGGTCCTTAACTTATGTATGGGCTACCCCTGTTAAGGTGTAGGAAGCCCTTCACGCTTATACTTGCTATTTTCAGTAATTTGGGTTAGAATGCCACTTTGGTTACCCAATTTATCTTGGTCTGACCCAAATGACCTTTGTTCATTTATTTCTATTATTTTGGGCTAGTGAACCTTAATATGTCGGTCCTAAATGTATTGGATAGTCCTTTCCAATATTTCGGGCCCAAACCCATTTCTATTTCTATTATTAGTAAGTGGGCTCGAAGAGTATCTTGTATAATCCCTTACCTTTTATTCGACCCCAACTTTTCATATGTCACTCTTTTCCTTATTTTTGGCTTTTAATTTATTTGGTATGGTCCAAGAATGTATTAGTTAGTTCCTCCCAATATTTAGGGTTCGACACACAATATAATTAATCGATATTAATTTAATCAATTAATCATTTCTAGTATGATTGATATACTTGTAACTAGTCTTCAAAGTGAATATATATTCATGACTTAACTAATCACCCTCATCGAAATTGATATTTGTACTTTCAATTACATTTTAATGTTAGTGGATTAATAAATCCAAGTTCGAATTGGGAGCGATGTCACAATTCTAGATAACATATGTGTAATGCACACGTGTGTTCCGGTGCCCCCCAACTTGCTCTTACCCCAACCCTTCTTCTTCCTTTCAGATCCATTCCCCTTATCCTGGTCATGGATCTCCTTCTCGAAATTCTTTTTCTTTCCGTCATCAACTTGGTGCTTTCCATCATCCTTTTCTCTCTTTCGCTTTTCCGTTCCTCTACTTCTGCTTGTCGGTCGGCTCGTCGCAGGAGCTTCCTCACGTGAGGTCAGGGGCTGTCGCATGAATTCTTTATGTAGCTCCCCCGATCTCAAGGTGTTGGTGAAGATTGCCACGGTGGGTCTGTTATCCAGGCCGTCAACCTTTACTGACTCATCCCTCTAGCGAGCCAGGAAGGCAGTTAAGTTCTCTTTGCGCCCTAGCATGACTCCCGGAAGGTGAGAGAAATTCTTCTCAGAGTCCTTCGAGCTCAAGGCAAATCGTGTGATGAGCGTCTGGGCCAACTCTCGGAAGTTTTGAATTCTTCCATCAGGTAAGGAGTCATACCACCCCGAGCTAGCCCGTCCAGGGTTACAGAGAATCTTCTCCATAAATCGCATCATCATACCCTATCATCACCGTGTAGGTCATATGCCTAGGAACATGGTGTTGGAGATCGGTTTTACCTCGGTAGGCCTCAATATTGCAAAGCTTGTACCCCTGCGACAGTGGAGCGTCCATGATTTGATGGATAAATGACTCAGGAATCCTCACATCATGGTTTAGATTTATTCTGCCATCTACCGCCCTTCTGAGTTCATCGAGTCGCCTCCTGAGGTCACCATTATCCCGACCGTCCTGGATGTAAGGTGGGGAGGTGCAATCTCCGCGGGCTCGTCGATGCTCGAGGATCTCGTTTATGAGATCTCCCCACGTGCACTACGGTGGTGGGACGAAACGGTTGCAGATGATGCTTCATCACTCCTCTCCGCTACCCTGGAGGAGTGCTTGTCATGCACAGAGATTCTTCGTCCTCCAATACGATCCATCACCGAAGCCCTCGGGGTTTGCCTGGAATGATGGGACCTCTGAGATCTGACTGGTGGTGAAGTCCTCTGACGTCGCGCAGATACTGCTTCCTCCTCCTCCTCCCGTAGAGGCGCAGATGGAACGTGGTGAGGGGAAGGCGGTCTTTCATCGGTGTTGGGGACAATCCCCTGAAAGGCAGTGGTTAAGGTTTCCATGGCCCTCTAGAATGTTGCCAAACTAGCCAATGCTTGTGCAGGATCCATGCCCGGAATGGGATTCCCGGTCACCAGCGTACGGAACTCTGACGGGCGTGTTGTGGGGTGCCTGGAACTCCCAACGCCATATAGACGGTTTCTCAAGTCGCCCGAAGTCACCGCGTTTTCATTCCTTCTCCGGAAATCACTTCGTCTGAGTGAGACCCTTCATCCTCGATCACAGCTTGATTCATTCGAGCACCGCCTGGGTTGCTGCCAGCACGGTTGTGACTGTGTGATCCAACCATTGTCGCCGTAAATCGTTTTCTCAACGAGAGCACCAAATGATGAAGTTTAATTCCAACTACGAGAGCTTAATCTACGAGATCAGATAAAATTTAAGCAATATAGGCAGTATTATTATTCCGGAATTCTGATACCTTTTAGGGTATGAGGTTCTATTATTATTCTAAGAGGAAACTGATACATTTAATTAATTTAATCGTAATAAGAGTCTTGTAACGTTTCGAACGTTGTGCAATCATTGTTCCTCTAGGTCCACGTTTCTTCAGTTAATCTCTGCCGGTGCCAGATAGCTATGCTCGAATGATAGCTTGTCACGTAAGCCGTAAGGTGAGTTCGACCTTGCTAGAATCCCGCCCAGGCCCGAGGCCTGATTGTGGGTTACTTTTGCGAGTTGGCTTCCTAATCAAGCCCAACAGCTATTACTAATTATTAATCCTGATTAATGAGTTGTCCCGTTGATGGGCTTTAGTATAATTTATTCTTGGGCTATGACTATAATCCATGGTACCATAAAACATAAACCACGATTTTCAACTTAAATTACAAAAATACCAACTTTTTTGATGTATGCCATATATCTGGCCGTACGATAAACGAACTCTCTAGATAGTGTCCCTTGTGTTGTTCTGTTTGGATTTGATGAATAATTAGTAACCTGGTTTGAGGGGTTTAATGCACCAAACCCTCTCGTGATATAGAAATTCGGCACATAAGCACATTTAATGATACCCTTTTATGAATAAATTTTACGATTTGGAAATCACTTTTCCTAATATTCTAATTGAATATGCAAGTAAATTTGTCAAAATCTCCAAATCATACGTAGTACAAAAATGTTAATCATTTTTCTTTTATTTGACAATTTAGCTTGTTCATAGAAGCGATTTTGCACATAATTAATTAAAACACAAGGAATTTGACACATTTTTTAAATCACATTGGATTAATGCGTCAAATTTCCATATCAAGAGAGATGCGCATTAAAACCCTAGTTTGAGCCAAAAAAAAAAAAAGTAATCCGGAGTAAAAGAAAAGGCTCAGTAGATTCTCCAATGGAAACTTTTGCTAAGCTAGAGCGTGTTCAGAGCCGGATCCTCCAACGTATAGCGGACCTCGAAATCGCCTTTCTACCTGACGATTTCTCTCACAGCCTCTCCATAAGATCTCCTGACGATTCCGCCGCCCCCGAGTCCACTGAACACCGTCTCTCTACCCTACTCCGTCAGAATGGCCTTAAGTACTTCGCCTTCAAGCGCGTTCCTCCAGACTACTACGAGTGGCCTCTCGAAGCCCGCCGGGACGTCATCGGTGCCGCTTCTGTAGACCACCTCTGCAAAAGCATTGTTCTGGTACCCAGCTTCTTCTATAATTTAGATTTACTTGTATATACAATCATGTTCATGGTGAAGTAGTCCACGATAAGCTTGGAATATTTTACACCTTTCCCTAGCCCTCACTATCCCTGCAATTACCCATAGATTCCAATCTTTCTCGGTTTTTCTGCATAAACAAAAGATGGAGAATTATAGGTTACCATTATTAAAGAGAATAAATGGCGGCTACCTTATATCATGAAGTATTAATTAATCATTGTATTTAGTTATTCAATTTCATGTGTCTATACTCCTGTATATTCATTCTTTTATGTATTAGAGTAATATGCATTGTGGTAAAATTATGTTATACCTTCCGTACAGTAATCCTACTATCCCTAATACAAACACTATGGTCAAGTGTTCTTGGTAAATGAAATAATTTCATCTATACACAAACAATACTAATATTATGTTTCAAATTAAAAATGAAACAATTTCATCCTTTTAATTTATTGAAGCTTAGGTAGTAATTTTGCTCAATATGGGGAGCATATTATGTTTTTACTCTACTGTTAGCATGTGCCAGTAACTGTGTTTTGTAGTTCAACTCAGACTTAGGTATCTTAAACAATTCTACGTTTGCCAATTAAGGAGTATAACAATACAAATCTACTTATAAGAGTTCGAGCTGTCACTCCTATCAGATACCCTTTAGACCTTAACGGAATCTTATCTATGCACCATTTGAAAATGTACAAGATGTTTGGACATTTTAATTTTATCTTTACTAATAAAGTTGTAGCATACTAACATCTATAGATAGATATGTGCTTGATATTTTGTTCTTCCTTCTAATTGTAAAATCTATTTACTGAATGAAGGTAAATACTCAAGCGCCGGCTAATATTACTGATTGTATGGATCGTGACAATTCAAAGTACTATGTTGTTGTTGTGCAGGTGACTTTAATTGGAGTTCTTGCATTTGCTTCCAGTCTAAACATTAAGGAAAGTAGAGTTAATTATAACTGGTATTCATCATTTGCATTTTTTTTACAGTATACTGCTCGGTTTAATGCAGAGGCGGTGAAGAACTTTTTGTACACACTCAATAATAGCAAGATAGCAAAAAAGAAGTTCAACAGTGAGTTAGTGTCCCTTTAAACCATCCATGAGGTTTAAGGTTTGCAATTTCAGTGCTTCAATACATAGAATCAGAAGCTCAGAACCACTGTTGTTGTTATTACTCCTACATCCAGTCTACCAGGATTCTCAGAAAGTTCTATTCTTATGATTGTTTTTTTACAAAAAGCATTATTGGTTAGGTTTTTGCCTTTTCTACTCTTCTCCTCAACTTACATTTAGAGCCCATTCGCTAATTCTCAAAATGGTTGAAGTTTTTGAAATTGCTGAAATGGGTGGTTGGCTGAATATGCTGAGCGTTCTAAGAATAATATTCAAATTTCAAAAGTATATATTTAAATAAATTTAAACAAATTAAATAAAATTTAAAGTAAAGGTTGTATGATTTTTTAAAGGATCCTGCTCAAGGGTTAGAACAAGAATTTATATAGTCTGCATTACTGCGCTAATGATTTCCTTACGTATATCTACAGTGAGGCTTGCTCCAGAGGAAATCTCAAGGAGTTTGACAGGTTATGAACACAATGGTGTAACCTGCATTGGCATGAAAACAAACATTCCTGTAAGTAATCTTTTGTGTCTATTTCAAGCTAAACTGTCTTGAAAGATATGGTTATTTCATTGGGGCTAGGAACAAGTTGGGTCATGACAACCTGTGGGTTGAGTACAAAGTGCTCATTTTGCCCACTTCCCTACTGTAGAAAGTCTCTTTCCCTGATAGGAACATTGACAATAATACTATAAGAATAATAGAATAGTACTGCGTATTAAAAAGTGTAATTGTGTATAAGTGAAGGTTCTGGGCCATTTAGTAAATCAGGAACAATGGGCCTGCCCGTAAAGAAATAGAAGTACTATAAGAGTAAGGAAAGGGGGAAAGAGGAAGGTAGGCAAATATTCAGTTGAGTTTTGGGTTTGGAGATTGGGCATCACGAATGGTCCTGTGTACTGTTTTCCTTCTGTAAGTACATCTCTCATCATTAAAGCTTTCTTGATCTCCTTGATCTATTCTTTACAATTTCAGTAAGATCTCTTAGTCAAATTACCCACATTCCCCAAGCCTTCCAAATATTGCAATGTAAGCATGCAGGGAGCTACCCCACATGGGGTGTATGTCAATGGCTCAGCATTAGATTATTTGGAATGATATGGCTAACTTGCTACCAATACTAGATTATCCTTTACCAATGTAACCCCACGTCCAAAAAAAGGAAAAGAAAACCAAACCTTTTTTAGGAAGTTGAAGTGGGCTCAATAGTTGCATAGGTGTATCCAGGGCCCAATGAATTATCCATTTATCACTCAAGAACAATACATATGCAACCTTTCTGACGTCTTACCCTCCAAAACAATCCTTCCAAATTAACCCTTATAAGAAACTTGTTCTATGCTCTTGTATATGGTGGCAAATATAGGTACAAGGCTGGTGAATTGATTACTTCTTATACATATTATATCTGTGTCTTGATATTGTTTTGGTAGGGATGTATCCTTCAGTAGATTCTGTATGATGTCCTACAGTTTTGAGTGTGGAGGGATTTAGAGAGCGAATGAGATCGTGAGATATGAGATTATATGAATAAGAGAAATAATTAATGCTGTATAATGTGATTTTGCCAGGTGATTCTAGATGAAGCTATTACAAAGCTCAAACCTGACTTCTTCTGGTTAGGTGGTGGAGAGATTGATCTTAAACTAAGGATGAACTGCCAAGAGTTCATAGACTATGTAAAACCTTTCATCATCAACTGTAGTGGTAGTTGATTACTTTGTAAATGCCTTGAGATATTTTTTTGGATGCGAATTGCTGTGATGTTTACAACCAACTAGCTGCAACTTGTTTTATGAATTATAGTTATGATTGACATCCTTCTCCAGGTTCCCATGTCCGGTCTGAGGTTCAGCAGTTAACATGGAAAGTTCAACTAGGGGTGTGTTTGGTTCAAGGAAGGGGATTTTACTATGTGTCCCCCAATAGGGATGGCCCCATTGCCATCCCGGCAACGGTTTACCCCATTAGGAGATAGGAGATGGAGCTAATTTGGATGAAAGAAGATAAAATTTTAGGGGCATGACCGCATGACGATAGAGGAGGGAGTGGGTTTTCGGATTAATAACAGGGATGGGTGTGAGCAGAAGGCACATGTGTGTTGTTGGCCGGAAAAAATGAACCAGAGGATCAAAAGTGGCAAATATTCCATAGTTGTGCACCAAATATGGGAAAATCAAAAGACTGGGACTAAAACTGTCCTAGCCACTAAAGTTGGAGGACCAAAAGTGGAAAAAACTCTTAACACCATTTTAGACCCTGAGAGCTTTTTAAAAATTAAACAACACCTTTAGTAGCCAAAAACCCTTTTAGTTCTTAAGTGTCAATGTAATCTTACATCCCATTTCAAATCTAGAAAACATTATACACGTTTTGATCGAGTTATTTTATCAAACACTTTATTAGCATTGATTAATTCTATAATATTTTCTTAAACCCTGCATTTAATCAACTGTGGTCATTTGACAGCATCTAGGACTAGGTGATTCGGTACGATATACCGAACATTTTTTCTCATACCTTTGATGCACCAAAACTTTCGGTATACAAAATTTATATACCTTTATCTTACCAAAGTTTCGGTATATCATATTTCGGTATACCGAAGTTTCGATTCGGTAATGGTACGGTATCGGTAAATTACTGTGCATGTATTCCAATACAACAAATTATCATAGATTAACGAAATATACTAAATCGGTTAATATTGAACAATAATTATTATTAGTATGTTTAAACAGTTCAACATGTCACGTAATAAAAAGTAACACATTCTCCTAAAATAACTTGAACAATATAGATATAATTAAACCAATAGTAATCTCCAACAAAAATAAATAAAATTATTCAAACAAAATATGGATATAAAATTATTTATTCCTAATATGATATTGTATGTTAAGTCATTTTATAATTTTGATAAAATATTTGAATAAGTCTTTCTTACAAAGTTGTGTGTCTCGGCTCGTGGAATCTCTATGTAGATACACTCGTCACATAAGTGTAATCATCTTTACTCGTCAGCTACTCAGTGACCTAGCCATCGCGGCTCGCAAGCTCTTGGAACAAGATAGACTTGTTTTTGGACATTAGTACATTACTCATTAGTCATTAGGATTAGCTTGTTCGAATGTTACGTAGTAGAAGCCTAGAAGGCTATAGTGAGTTTCGGAAGCTGAGCCTTTATTTTTGTATTTTGGTATTTGTAACCAACATAAGTATTAATTTTGGACTTCAAAATTTGTAATAGACCTTTACAATATTTTAGAATTAAAAGTAATTGTTGGGTAGGGAGTCGGTAAGGTATTATACCGGTATACCACGGTATTTGAAAACATTTACAGTTACCGTACCGAAATAAATCAGTAGGGTATGATACTGTATCGGAAATGACGGTGTACCAATATTACGGTATTTTTCGGTATTCTTAGGTACGGTAAGTGCGGTATATCAATTTTCTGGTACTTTTGCCCACCCCTATCTAGGACGACATATGGTCACTAGATTTTTAAGAGCCATAACTACAATCATAAAGATGGCATTCGTAAGAAAAGAATTAATGCACTGTATCTGTAATAGCAAAAGAAGAAAACATTCACACTATGCCTGAAGCGTTTAAGCTAATACTGTAAGGAATAAATGTACTTAGATTTTGATGATGCTAGGTTAATTAGAATATTAGAGTAGCCCCTTTAGAAATCTTGTATTAGAATTTTCTTTGTAAGTATTAGCATAGTCGACTGGCCAGAGACCCTCTTGGACTTTCTGAACAGAGTTGCTACCAGAGCTGCTCTTCAGGAAAGCCATCAGAGGTGCTACCAGAACTGCTCTTCAGGGAAGCTTCTAGAGTTGCCATCAGAACAAGACATCAGAGTTGTTTTCAGAAAACTTCATCAGACTTGTTGACACTTAGAAGATTTCGGTGCTACTTCCATCGGCCGTGAAACTAACGGGAAATACCCTAACGGCTAGGAGTCACTCAGCTGAACATGGTACTGTTCACGCATTAAATGCTTAATTAATGCTGTTCGTACTATGAGATATTTAAAGCTGATGATTGACCGAGATTCCTGGAAAGCTTATCCCAAAATAGCAAAACTCCAAACTTGCGGGCCCAACTAGTCAACTCTACAGTACGCGCATTCAATGCAGTTGTCTCCTCCTCCAACCGGAAGACAACTCCAGTATAAAAGATACACTTTGAAGAACTTCGATGATAACTTTTGCTCAATCTACACCTTAAAAAGCTTTCTTGAGATTCAAACTCCATCATCTTCAAACAAGAAAAAGCTTACGTTGGAAAGATCATAATCTCACATATGACTCTACTCCAACAAGAGCAAGTTCCTCCAGTTCTTCAATAACTTCAAGCACCTCATTTACAAATCTTTTGTGACGAAGCAAGTTAGAGAAAAACTCTGTTTTTCTACAGAACATCTTCTGCAAAGAAGGAAGTCTTAAAGTAGTGAAGTGGTGACGAAGCAAGTTAGTGAAGTGGTGATACTTCAAGGAGACTCAGTGAAACAAGACCAGTCTTAAAGGAAGCAAGGAAGTGCATCCCAGGAGATATCTACACTTGAAAAAGACGTGAAGAGCTTCTTAAGTGCTAGGACTTAAGTGTTGTAATTGGTTTATTACAAGCTTAGTGGAACAGTGGACTAGAGGAACAAGTTGTTCCTTGAACCACTATAAAAACCCCGGTGTCATTTACTTTCAGCATTTAATTTCTGCTCCTAGGATCTTAACTGTGAAACTCTTAAGAACTTGGAATCTGTGTTCAGCAGATCTTGGTCTAAGAGTTAACAGAAAGGCAGTTGCCTTAGTGTTGTTCTGAGGCTACCCGGACAAAACTCTTATCCGCTGCCAGGTCCAGTTCTAACATCAGAACTCGACCTTCTCTGTCACCAGATTTAGACCATCTCTGATAAGTCAGTATAGACTTATAGAAAAGTCTGAAAAATCTGAACAGTCTATTCACCCCCCCCTCTAGACTGTTCCCTACTTAAACGAGACCAACAAATACCACTTTATAACTTTCCCAAATTCTTTTTACTTTATGATTTTGATAACCAATTTTACAAGATAGTTGAGTTATTAAACAAGAATTAGATAGATCCATTAGGCACATCCAATTATATAGGAAACCACTAAACCCACCAGGCCACCATCAGGGGCGGATGTATCAAGCAATTGATGGGGGCACATGCCCCCAATGAAGTCCAAACTTTCAGTGTTTTACATATGCATAATATTAATAAAAAATGTAGTTCCCCCAACCAAAAAAATGCATGCCCCATTAATTTGTATTAACTCAATTCTAAAAATGAGTGGAAAAAACGGGTGGACAAGCGAGAAATGCAATCAGTTCACTTCAATGACATTACCGAACTCAATTAATTAATTGAGCTAATTTTGTATTAACTCAATTCAGGCACACACCCTTTATCCCTTTATCCCTTTATCCCTTTATCCCTTTTAAATTATATACTACGTGGATTAGCTATGTTAATGATATAATTAATCTCATCCCTTTACGTTTTTCTAAATTCGTAATTTGCTATTATTATTATTATTATTATTTTATCTTGCTATTAGAGTCTTCCCTGCAGTTGTATATTTTGCTAATTTGTAGTTCATTATTTTACTATTTGTATTTAATTTCATCTTTGAGAATGAATTGTTTAATTCAAAGTTTAAGTTTAAAATGTTGTTAACTATAGCGTGTATAGTTCACGAGTATAATTTTATACTCCATATATTTGAACAGATTAAACAATGATATTAAGATACTACAATATAAAACAGACTGACCCCAAATTTAAATAATTCTTATATTTTTAGTGTAAAAAGTTCAATCTAACATTTTTCTTAAATTACTCTTTGTACCGGTCCAGTCCGGCCAAGTACTCTGGCTATAAAAAAAATAACCACTACCACTCAATCAAAGCCACAATGTTGGAGAAAGTTCAAGTGTTAATGTATCAAATAGTTCTTCCTATTGTATTAGTTACAATTGAAGTTGTGATGGACGATTTTTTTTAAAAAATGTTAACTCTTAGAGCAGTTGAAATGCATAGTAATATTTAATACTCCATAATTTTATACTACATCCATCCAGAAAAGAAGTTCTCACTTTCTTTTACAAATGTCCTAAAAAGAAGTTATCAATTCTATAAAAAGAAACCACTTTTTAGGCAACAAGACACAACTATCCTTATTTTTTTTACCTATTTTTTATTTGATTTAACATAAAGTAAGGGTAAATTTAAAAAATTAACAAAACTTTGTCACAAATAAATATGTGTGTATAGTAAGTAAAACTGAGAACTTCATTTTGGGATAAAAGGAGTACTTATTATCTGAATATTTATCAATTGTTTTCTTAATGGATGCCCCCAATAGCAAAAGTTTCTGGATCCGCCCCTGGCCACCATGCTATTTTAATTACTTTGTATTACTCCTCCGTTTTATTATTGTGATTATTATTATCAATTAATAATATGTGTATATATACGGGGACGGTGCGGGGGTGCATAACCCATCACCCGCTCCATATTTAAGCGGTGAGGAAATAATCCCCCCATCCCCATACCCGCCCCACCCACCTCCCGCCCCAACTCTCCCCCACGGGGTGGTTCCCCATGGGCCCCCGCCCCCATTGCCATCCTTATATATACGCAGCGTTACTTTGTTGTTGGAGGAGATACGAGAGAAGGGGGTTAAATAGGCGATGAAAAACCTCGTCTCCTTTTTATTCAAATTTTTTATAACCCAATGAAGGGATGTTATAGGTGTTTCTCCACGTTGTCCCTCTTATACTTT